ACAGAATCATTAAGGTTGGAAGGGACCTTAAAGATCATCAAGTTCCAACCCCCCTGCCATGAGCAGGGAACCCCACCACTAGAGCAGGTTGCACAAAACCTCATCCAGCCTGGCCTTAAAAACCTCCAGGGATGGGGCATCAACAACCTCCCTGGGCAACCTATTCCAGTTCCTCACCACCCTTATAGGGAAGAATCTCATCCTAATATCTAACCTGAATCTCCCCTCTCTGTTTAAAACCATTCCCCCTTGTCCTCTCATTATCTTCTCCGATGAAAAGCCCCTCCCCAGCTTTCCTGCAGGCCCCTCTCAAGTATTGGAAGGTGCTCTAAGGTGTCCTCGGAGCCTTCTCTTCTCTAGGCTGAACAGAGAAGAACAGTTAATTTACATTAAATTGTCCAATAAATTGAAGATCAGAGAGAGGAGAATGCTCCCCTCTTGAGTGAAATACAACGTGTTCCTCTGGGAAAATGGACTGATAAAGCCATGGTTTATTTATTTATTGCTGAACTTTGCTACCAGAAAAATGCTGCATTTGTAATAAGTAAGGTATTCCATCAGACAATATTTTAAAGAAAGCAAAATCAAAAGTTATTTCCTCTCTTCTAATGATCCTTCTTTTTCTCTCAGCTTTTGCCTCTTTACTTGAGTGTAAGATTTTGTTCAATAAGCTATAGACAGTGGCAATGAGCAATAAGTTCTGGCTCACACTTTAATGAATGTGCTTCCACTCATCTTTTGACCGTTGGAAATGAGTGTTTTGCAACAATTCTGTGGTCATAGGTGACATCCCCACTCCAAAGGAGAGGATTCTGTATTTACATAATGAACTTCAGTTGATGGCTTGGCCAACAGAAGACGACAAGCAAGGAAATGACACCTGTTAGTGTCTTTGTGCCACTGGGCATCGAGTGATAAGGGTATGTCTGACCCAAAGGAAATGGGAATTCACGGTGAAACTGCATGTCTGAAAATTAGCACCAGATTCACCCATAGCTCAGTTTCTTGCTTTGCTCAAGTCAAACTTGGCAGCTGGAACTAGCAGACTTCAATTCTGATTTGAAATGTGTTTGTGGCTGATGTGGTACAGAGCATGGCTGTGCTGGCTCCTGTGCAGCCATCGGTGGCCTGGGCTGGGGGCTGTAGCTGTCAGAGGTGTTTGCCCAGGTATTGGGCTCTTGAAGAGAGGAACTGGGTTACAGTTTTGGGAGGGGGGAGGGGGGGTGGTATGGGGCAGAAATCTGCTGGAAAATATCATTTTTTTAATATAACTCAAAGCCCAATCACTAGAAAAATCTCGTGTTTTAAGATACTAAGCTTCCTATTATAGAATCAAAGAAAAGTACTGTTCTGAACTAGTAAAAAGGTCTCCTGCTTTAAAGAGATAAGATTCTCTTGGTATCCAGAAGGGCATGACATTTTTCCCATGTTTGATTGTATTAGGTATATTAAATATGACTTAAAATGTTTAAGGTTGCTCAAACTGCAAGAGTTCAAAAGATTTTGGATGAGATCTTTTCTTATTTATGTTGTTAAGCCTCTGCAATAATTGTAAATCATTATTCTTTTAAAGAACAAATAGTAAGAGGTCAAAGAATCTATGTATAGATGACTGTATTTCATTACAAAGGAAAGTTCACAGGAGTAGAAATCTAGCTGTGGTTGTTAGAATAGCAGACATTTAAGAAGAATCATTGGTGTGTAAGTAAAAAAGCTTTAATCTAAAGAAAAGGGTATAGAGTTGTGAAAAATTGGTGATTTAAAAGATAATGTGGTATGAGAAATACTAGTTTTTAGGGATTTTAGCTTCTGTTTAAAAATACAGAACAATTAACTTAGCCTACACTTTCAGTTTAAGAGAACTTGGAATCAGTAAATCACACATGCAAGGAAATAAATCTTTAAAATCCCAGCCACTGTTTTTAGAAGTACTGTTTTTCCTTTGGGTGGTGCATCTCGATTCAGAAACTAAGGGTTAAACTGACAGTGCAGTTGGGTGCCCTTAGAATGAGAGGGAAACCCTTCATGTTCTTGCTGTTGCTGAAAGGTATTTTGTAGCAGTCGATTCCAGATGTTGCAGGTTCAGAAAACATTCTTTTAATGGAATGCCTCATACTTTTTAATTTACACAGCATTCACTCATTTTCGTAGATGTCCAAGCTAGAATTTTAAGCTGGTTTTCTGTACAAAAGTGTTCTCTTGCCATCAACTTTGTGACTGCCAAACTTAGCTAGTAAATTCAGCCTTTTATTTTGCAGAAAAAAGATTTCATTGAGATGTCAAAGTTAATCCACATAAAAAAAATTAATCAAATAAATAAGTTTCTGTTTAACTCATCTGAAATCTCAAACAAATATGTCAAATAGGGATAACTCAACCACCTTCATGGGCAGTACATTTTCAAAACACCTGAACACACCATGGAAGCAATGCTGTGGTGAAATCCTCCATCCTTGCTGCCCTGAAGAGGTTGGGAAGGAAGAACGTCTGGTGATCCACTCTACTCTTCAAGAAACTTCATACTGTAAGGGGGTGGGAAGAAAAGAGGGCTGAGGAGCTACCAGCCTAGTCCTGCTGGAACTGCCTGGGGAGCTGGGGCTGGGCTGTTGGGCCGAGCTGCACAAGGCCAGAGCCCTGGTGGCACCCGGAGTTACCTGTGGTCTGTCATGGGCTCTTGCTGTGACCCTGGTGAAGTCACTTTGTGCCCCTGCACCAGTTTCCCAGCATTTTTTGTTCCTTTAAGTATCAGGTGCTGGCAGACACTGTCATACCATTTTTATTATTCTTCCCAGTAAAACACAGTCCAGATCTCAGCTGAGACATTTCAGAACTACTGATATTAAAAATAATGTTATTTTATCTTCCATCTTGTTACACACACTTCAGATTAAAATGTCTGGGCAGCATTTTAAATTATGGAGCATTGCTAGTGTTCCTAAGCGTTTTAATGAGAAGAAAGGCACTAAAAGGCCCACATGACAAAAAAGTGGGAATGGGATTTGCCCTTTCATTTAACAAGTTACTGGTTAAAATTTTCCACTGAGAAATATTTTTTCCTTAAAATACTGTGGTTTTGTTTGATATGCAGGAAACTGCTATTACTGCTTAAAAAGAAAAACCCCAAAGTTAAGGTTTGGCATAGAAAATACTGAAGCTTCTGCAATTTAAAGAGTAATTTTATTTCTGTGGTATCAAAAATACAAAATAAAAGCAAAGTGAGTATTTTCTTTTGGATGCTTAAACCATTGATTCATAACAAAAATGATGACTATGAATCTCTTTGAAACTTCTCACAGTAAAAGTAAAAAACTTGGGAGTTTTTCATAGCTTATGTACACCAAAACCACATTACTTTCCCAAAACACTCTGGTGCTAATTGGTTGAAACTGTCTTAAATCCATAGTGACTAGATTTAAGGTGTGTAATTCGAAGACATGAGCTTTAGTGACATGATGTAATCTAAGATGGGTTTTGCAGAAACCTGTGCTGGGAATTTGAGTCTGTGTGCTACAGGAGACCTCAGAAACTTGGGGCACAAGAGAGAGTATCCTGTGCAGGAATGTGGTCCAGCTGTCTTAATACCCTCTCTTCAGCTTCAAAGGTTCAAAAGACATTTTTGTGTTACATTTTTATTTGCACAGTGTTGTGGGTTTTATTCTTTTCAGAAGTTTAGAGGGAACTAAAACAGACTCTTTTCTTTCACGAAGTTGTGTTTTAAGACAATGCTGTGCTAATCCCTGGTGAGACCAGAACAATATTCACAGTGCATGGTGTTGAGTGAGGCAGCTGGCTCCTGCTCTAACTGCTGGAGATATGACAGGATTAATCCAGTATGTTCTTATTCAGTTGCTACAATTTTAGGTTCTTCACAGCCTATCAGACTGGACCAGGCTGTAACTCATACAGCTGAAGTTGTTGTTAAGTCTCATGCCTTTACAGTTTCCAACTTTTCATGTTCATTTCACCTATTTTTTCAGAAAAAAATTCTCAGCTTCACATAACAGTATTTTCCCTAAAGGAATGGGCTAAGTTAGAGGAAGTTGTTCTGTACGTGGGCTGATGTGCACAACATAGTGGTGCAAAGGCACAGAGAGAAATACTTGAAGCTGTCTGTGGTCTGAAATACTCAGCTCATAGGCAGTTGAGACTCAGTAGGGATTTCAAAGATGCAGTAAAATGCACAGACCAGCAAGAATCTGTCACCCTAGTTATCATGGAAAACTGAAGAACAAATGCCAAATTCAGTGCTGTGTGGGATGATGGATTCTGTGTGATTGAGGTCTCTGATAGTACCATGCCCACAGTAGGATTTCTTTTGTCATCTTTTTGTTTCCTTGAGGATTTAAGTGTAGGTGAAAACGTTACAGATTACTTATTTGTGGATTAGAAAGGGAAGAGGTTTGTCTTACTGTTGTCACTTAAAGCTGCTACAGCAAATAAATGTGGCAGGATGCAGGAGCAGTGTCTGATCTACAGTGCACAAAAGATAAACACAAATCTGTTTTCTTATGGTCTTGTGTTAAATTGCCTATGAGAGGCTTCAGGAAGGGCTATAAGGGAAAACGTCTGAGGGATGTTAGTGCTCCAAAGCACTGATGATTCCCAGGGCTGGAAGTTCTCTTTTTGTTCTATTTTGTCTAAGAAAAGATTGTTGACAGTTGATGCTGACTTCTTTCACCTTGTTTTAAGGGAACATTGTCTAGTTAAAGGCTGGAAGACTCGGTTGTCTTCTGGTTACAAGCTGCTTCAAAAACCATATAGGCTCTGCTCTTGATACACAGGGCAGATGCTTCACCAAAATCCGTGTACCTTCAAACTAAGTAAAAGTTTGGTTTTGCAAGTTTCATTAGTCACTTTTTCAGCCTGATCTCCAGGAGGTAGTATAATCCAGATATCCAGTGACAAATCCATGACTGGATTACCTGGCATACTGTGTACAGTTCTGATGCCCTCAGCACAAGAAAGATATAGACCTGTTGGAGAGGGTCCAGAGAAGGGCCATGAAGATGATCAAAGACCTGGAGCAGGTCTGCTGTGAAGGCAGTCTGAGAGAGTTGGGGCTTTTCAGCCTAGAGAAGAGGAGGCTCCGAGGACACCTTATAGCACCTTCTAGTACTTGAAAGGGGCCTGCAGGAAAGCTGGGGAGGGGCTTTTCATCGGAGAAGATAATGATAGGACAAGGGGAATGGTTTAAAACTGAGAGAGGGGAGATTCAGGTTAGATATTAGGATGAGATTCTTCCCTATAAGGGTGGTGAGGAACTGGAATAGGTTGCCCAGGGAGGTTGTTGATGCCCCATCCCTGGAGGTTTTTAAGGCCAGGCTAGATGAGGTTTTGTGCAACCTGCTCTAGTGGTGGGGTTCCCTGCTCATGGCAGGGGGGTTGGAACTTGATGATCTTTAAGGTCCCTTCCAACCTTAATGATTCTATGATTCTATAATTTGAGCATTCTTATGCAGGGGACTTATTTCCAACACCCTGGAAAGAAGAATCCTTTCTGTAACCCAAACACCTTATCTTGCAGTAAACACTGAGGCACAAGGAACAAGCAGACCTTTGGGTAATTGTTAATCAGTTTCTCCATTCAGACCTGTTTTTTCCTTCCCTTCCTTTCATACAGGTTGATAAAGTGTGTGGACAGCCCAAACAACAAGAAGGGAACCTGTCATCAGACAAGATAGTGCCAGTGAAAGAAGTGACCGAAACCCAGACATTCGTCATGGCTCATGCTAGTCTGAACAATAAAAGAAGGTAAGCCTTAACCACAGTTGCTTTCAAAGAAACTCTCTGCATCACAATTTGTGTTAATGGTTCCTTACACTACATTGTTTAAACCAGAGTCACTATTCTGTCACCTTGTATGTGTGCTCTCCAGCCATTGCCATCACTGATAGTTACACAGGTGTCTTTTTGTTATTATATTGCAGATCTCTCCAAGAAAAGCTTTTTACAGGCCAGATTTGATGTCATTACTTAGCACCAAAGTGTTCATTATTTCCAAAAACTTTACATGAAAGTCATGAAAGCTTTTCCTCAACAAAGTCTTGAGTAATTTCCACAGTTGAGTCTAAATTTCTTAAAATATAATGCCTCAGATCTTTAAGGACTTGAACTTATCCAGGGGCAGAGGTGGGAAGGAGGGAGGAGTGAAAAGGAAAGATTCATTGCCCTGATGTGAAGTCAGTCCCTCATTTCACAAGGCTGGAGAGGAGGAATAAAACCCCTTGCAATCACCTTGATTTGTTATGTAACAGAGCAAGAGCAGAAATATTTATGTTTAGCCTTGTTATGTCTATCTTGGCTTCTGTTCTTCAGCTGTGTTGCAATTGAGACACTATTCAGCTGAATTTCTGCCACTGGTCCTGGCAGGAGTATCCCTAGTCTTTCTTTTCACTTTCACTTATGTAGCTCCTGGATTGGTTTTCTGTAAATGTAAGTGGGGAGGGAAGGATGTCTTTGCAATCCCACTCCTAATACATGAGTAGATATCAGAGCTGAAGGATCATAAAATCAAAATGACATATTTGTGGCTAACATGTTGTTCTCTAACACCAGTGTTAATGTGGAACAACTTTTGGAAAGTGGAATTATGCTGGGTTTACGCCTCCCTCTGAGAACAGTATCTAATCTGCCCAGAGAGTCTGTGTGTATCTCTGTATGTTGGATAGGTGGATGACAGACAGCATTATTAAAATTTCCATAGCCTGGAGTTTAAGTTGTGAAGATGAGATTTTGATCCGTTTCTATTTTAAATCTCATCTAAGCTTGCATGAATGAAACAAACACTGCATTAAGATGAAAGTAAGAGCAGCAATCTGTATTTTTCAAGTGGTAATGAAATTACATCCCTTTGTAATTTAGAACCAAAACACAACAGTTTGTGCTAGTCCTTGGAGCTAGTAAAATTTTACCATGCAAAACAGAGAAAAGAGCATTAAGGAAATTAAATTAATAAATTCAGCAGTAGTAATCCAAAGAATAGTCATAGTACAATTAGTGAAATACACTTTTAAAAACAGAGCACTAGACTATCTTCTGTATAAATCATTGACTTCACTGGGACCTACACCTTGGCAACCAAAAAGGCAGAATTATCAACCTATTAACAGGTAACCCCCTAACACATCCGCACAACAGTAGTTCTTTTTCACCTGAGGATCTGTTCCACCCCCTTCCCAACCATCTAGTTTTATTCGGTTATTGACCTTTTATAGCCTAAGACCTGTAGATGGAAAATAAAATATGCTAAAACTTATTATACTGTAAATGGGACAGTTTTCCAGAGTTAGTCAGTGCACTAAAAATTAGTTTATCAAAAAAACTACAATAAGGGCATTCTTAAATAATTAGCATAAAACATCACTGAAATACAGTGTTGATAGGTATTGTGGAAAGCCTATGCACCAAAAAAGAACAATGGAGCCATGCCATAATTAGTAAGAAGTGGAGAACATTTCTAAATTTTCCACAACTTCCCTTAAAACACATGGCATGAGGCTTGTTCTTTGCTTCTTGGAAACGACTGTGAAACAGTAATTAGAGTGAAGTACACAGTGATTGGCTACATCACTGTGTTGTTCATCATCTATAATTTAATCACATGTGATATCAATAAAAAGCAATTTTAGGTAATAAAATTTTATAATGGATGGGTGAAATTGTTCCTACAGTGGGTTGTGTAAAATGCACTTAGGGTGACAGATAACTGCTACAGGGGGTCTAGATTATGAGAGTAATTACATGAATCTTTTTTTGTGCCATTCCTTCTGGCAATTTAAAAATGAAGAGCAATAACATCAGCTGTCAATCAGGTTAGGTACAAGGTCACCCAGGGGATTGGCCTGACCCAGTCTAGTCTTTCGGTCTCTGTATTAGACAGCCCTGCAAATGATCCTTAATTCAAGGGGAATATGGAGCATGATTCCTGCCTTTTAGAATAAGGAAAGAAAAAGAAGAAATGACCCAGCAGTCCTCAAGTAAACAAAAACTGTGGCTCATTCCATTAGTGTGTCAGAATATTCCCAAGCTCCAAGAGAAGAGTCATTCTGTTTAGTGCATCTGTAGGAGAAACCACAATGAAGTGGCCTCTCATATCTTCTCTGGTAACTGCTTGAAGATGCCCTTAAAAATCTGGTACCAAACAGCTTACACCTATATACATATGTTTGCTCTAAAGGTATTAGTGCAAGGCCAGTTACAAAACCAAGCTCCTTTTCCAATGACTTTGAGAAGCTCTGGTTCAGATGGTGTTTCTTATCCTGACATCTTTTTTTCTGGGAGTGTGTTTTTGATTCTGGGTGGAAGCAGTCTTCACTCTCCACTGCACACTGGGGTCCTGCATGGTCTCTGAATTTGCATAGCAACTAGATCCTGTCTGGCAGTAGTTGAACCCTTTTCTGCTCCTTTTGCTCTCATGAGTTCTTGGGAATTTCCCATCTTTCTTGATTTTCTTCTCCATTCCATTCCTGCATATTTTTTGTTATGCAATGCTGGGAGGGACAATAGTCTAAGAATCTGGAACCTGAATAAATGTTGCATGATCAGGTAGGAAACCTTTACTTCTGATTAAGCCAAAAAACTTAGATTTTTTTAACTAATGTTTTCTCTCTTGTTTTTTTCATTACACAATCACGTTCAGGGATTAACTGAACCTGGCAGGATTGCTGCTGTAGTGATTTTTTCATGTGGAAGTTACTATAACAAGTAGTAGAGATGACAAAAAAATTGAAACCATATGATGGTACAGGGACTGTACATGGCATGTACAGAATTGAAATCAGTAAATTGAGATGCTATTGCTGAGTTCAGCACAAAGTACTACTCTGGGCAGGGACTGGACTCCAAGCAAAGTTGAATACCTGCCTTTTGGCATGTCTGCTGCATGTAATACTTCAAGCCACTAAACATAGACTAGTTACAGATCTCTGTATACAAATATGTTATGTTTAACAAAGAAATGTAACATCATATTAAGTCCCTAATTGGAGAAGGCAGGCTTTGAAATTATGTTTTGTTGGAATTGCATTGTTATACTGTGAACTTACAGATCTTTTATACATCTTAAATAAAAAATTTTGAGTTTCTATGGGGATGTTTTAAGTTGAGGGCATCTGTTTTACTTCAAATTAACTATCTGTTGTGTCAGATATCACATGACTTTATTAAAACTGTAAAATTAAAGTGCTAGTACATAACAGGTTATTAATGCCAGATGCAAATTAACTTACTGTGGAAACTAATCATACAGTTCTGACGGGCTGGCCAAGGCAGAAGTTTCAGGAGGTCCAGATTATCCCTGTTACAAATTCTCATTTCCATTTTTGACTCGCTGTGTTGGAACCACTGTTCAGTGGTGGTAGGTGACACTCACCTGGTAGTCAGTGCAGGCCCATCCTCCTGTGGCCACACTTGCTGTAACCTCGATGTACAATGGCAAAGCCACCATCATATGGCTGTCCTCAGGGCTGCTGGAGCTGGTGCTTGCTCTCCCCAGTAAGAGTTAAATGGATTGGCAAGTATTTTTGAGCCTCTTTGCATTACTCCAGCTGTTGCTGTTACTTTATGCATCAGAGTACAGGTATAAGCATGAGCAGAGTGTGGTACCAAATCATGTAAGGAGAAAATTGCATCATTATGTTAATAGTAAATACAATGTTTAAGGTTAAAATTAAGGGACCTCAGGTTATCAGTGAGTACATTTGCACTAAATAACTATTAAAGTTATTTCTACAGTACTTCCTCCAATATGACCTTAGAGCCTGTCTCTCCTGTTTTGCAAAGGTGTTGGTTTTTTCCAGTGGTGTAATCTGACCAGAACTGAACAGCAAAAAATGACCGTATCTGTGTTATTTATTAACAGACAGAAAATTGCTTACACCAGAAAATGAATGTTGCTTGTTTGTATCCCCCTCCTCATGGTGCTCATTCTAAACTGTAATTGTTTTCTTGTATAGCCTGATGTATTTACAGTTCTTCCATTTGCTATCAGTTATAGTTAAATACCACTGAATTTTCAACTTCTTGGTGTGCATGCTGCATTTGTAATTATGCTTTTATTTGAAAAGTATTGGGAGAAAAAAATCACAGTTGTATTTTTTTTTTTGTATTGTATTAACATTTTTAATTGCATCTATACTTTGGAAAAATCTCATGACAATTTTCCTCTTTTTTTTTTTGTTTTCTTGTATTATCCTATGCATGTGCTTGATGACCTTTCTTTCAAATAATTTTTACTTTTCTCTTTTGTTTCTCATTTCGTTTCCTCATTTGCCTGAATTCATGCTTCTCCCTTACTCCCCAACCTCTCCTGGTTGATGCTTATTCTCCCCGGCCTATTCCAGTTCTCTGCCTCTGAAAGCTTCAAAGAATGACAAATCAAGAAGTTTGAAAAAAATCTCTCGGTAAGAATGAACACAAGGTGACGTACTTTGTTGTCTCTTCACTTAGCTCATCTTCATTATAAGCTGCTGTTTCAGCTGTAATCTAGGAATAGGCATACTTTGGTTACTGCTTTTATACAGTGGGGCACTAAGATACTGTAGGTTTTCCACCTAGTGTGTTTAGTTTTCTACTGAGGAAAAGAATTTTTTTAACTTGTTAAGATTGAGGTGGACACAGAACTCTGCCTTTGCTAAGATCCCATTTTGAAATGTCAGTTTCACTCTGCTGAAAAAGTTTAAGCTTCTTGGGGTGAGCTGTGTAAGACAAGCTTTAGACTCTTAAAAGAGTGCTCTTTTTCTCCTTCAAAGAAAACTCCAATTTTGAACCAATAAAATCTTTAGCATTCAAGTCACCTTTCATAACTGACTTTGCCTGTTCTCTCAGGTAAGTGGCCTTCTGTCTGGGCCTGGCTTTACTCTGTAAATAGTTAGTGCTCATATCTGTAAGTGATCAAGAGGAGAAATACAGAGTCCCTTGCCATAAGCTCCCAAATTTGTTCTTTTTTTCGTTGTTTAAAATGACAGCTTCCCTGCATTGTTAGGGTCTAAGTTAGTTCCTTAGAACCATATGATGACTAATTTATCTAGAGCAGGATTTCATCACGCTTAAGATAAAGGGATAGTTAAACACTTTTGAGAAATCAAGAAGACAGTTGTGGGTGAGAGATGAGCACTGCCTAAACTTTGTAAGGGTAGATGCCTAGCACTGAACTTTCATACTGCTTAAAGCACCTGTTGCTCCCAAAAGCCCCAAGCACAGTGCAGTGTCCGCTTCCAGCCTGCCAGGCAGAAAGATTATAAACCAGAGTGAATCCTTTGGCTTTGCAGTAGGGCTGTTGAAGGACTTCTGAGACAAGCAGATGGCTCCATGATAGCTCTAGCTCAGTTTTTGTGTCCTGTGTCTTGTTCTCAATATCTTTAACATCTTACATCAAACAAGAGCTCTTAAAGCTGTGGAAACAGGGTCAATTCTTATTTTGAAATAGGCTAATTTGTGTGCTGAGTTGACATGTGTTTTGATACAGTTTATTTTTATGGCTACCTTAGCCAGATAGCTATTATAAATATAATCAGATTATACCAGAGGCAGCAGTTTGCTCATAAGGCATTTTTCATACTTCCATTCCATCAGAAGTGGGCTGTTTGTACTGGCCAAGAGTGGTGGTTATTCACCAAACCAGCAGGCTTAGCCTCCTCTTAGCAGCGGAGGTGCAAGACATGATCAGAGAAACTTCTTTCTCTTGTGAGTGTGGCATGGATAGTGATGATGGGCAGGAATTGACCCCACCACATCTCAAGGAGATGACTTCTGTATTGTTGCCGTATGTGTGGGGTTCTTACAATATATTGCAGGGTTTGTGATGGGATGTTAACTCTGGGAAGTCTTTTCCACCCAGGAGGTTATTGACAGTGTTCTTAATTCATCTCACATGTGCAGGAAATGGAGAAATCTTCACTTACAGTAACAGGAAAAAAGCCCACTCCTTTAATGATGATATTTTCTCATTATTTTTTTAATCTGTTTAAAGAGAGTCAGTAGAGTGTAGACTTTAAATGTTGAGAGATGTGTTTATGTAGTTAGTGAAAACCACCCATTGTATGTAATTATGTGCATTAACACTGGACTAAGTAAGACTGGATGATACTTAGGAGTAAAAATACCCTAAAAATTGAATTGCGTAATTTCCATACGGGTTGTAAAATCTAAATTTTGTGGAGGGTTAAGTTGACAGGGGACTTAAACCATAGGGTTACTGTTGTCTTGTCAAATGTGTTCTTTCTGTGTTACAGAGAGTTCATCAATTACATGAAGCGATCCCGAACCTTTTATGCCTCCATAGCAGAAAGGCTGTGTGATGGGGACCTGGTGATGAGAGACAGCTCAACCTGCTGGAATGGAGAGGATGTTGTAGAAAGGTAAAGTTATGAGTAAAAGTTTTCCCTTTACAGTGAAAAAAGTGACTTCATATCCTTCTCATGTCTCATAAGCATTCTGAGACATTGCTGTCATTTGTAAGTTTCTCCTCCGTAATGGCACTCAATGCTTAATTGAGTCAAGGTTTTACAAAAATGAAAGGTTGTTAAAAGGTTATTAATGTTGAGTTTTAGGTATCTGTAGTAGATACAGTGAAACGTTTTCTCAGAGGGCTGCTTTGAAGAGTCTCTTTCTTTCACTATAGAGAGATGATTCTTTGTAGAGAGATCTTGCCCACTAAAGCTCTTGTTAGCAAGCAGTACCTCCATGAATGGCTGGAGGTCCCTTCTAGTTTGTGGTTTAAAGGCTCAGTAGTGCAGAGCTGAACACCATGTTTGGCCATATTTAGAGAATATGTAACTCTTCTGCAAAGGTGTCAGAAAAATACAAGGACCTGTGCGTAATGGTCTTTAAAGGACTTTCCTGCTGTTTCCTTTCAAAGTTTCTGACTTAGCAACTTGAGTAACGACTGGTTTTGGAATTGCCTGGCGCCCTTACCAGAGCACGTTCTGCAGGAATTCTTATAAAGTGATGTTTAATAAACTCACTGTTCCCTGTGGACAGAGCAGCTAGAAGCTTTGTAGGGTTAAAAGATCCTTCTGGTTTGTCAGCTGATTTTTTTTCTGCTCTGTATTTTATCAGTGTCTCTCCTGTCAGCCTTTAGAATCCAAACTGGAAAATACACTTGGACTCTCCAGGAGCTAAACTTTTGGTGTCATTTCTCTTACTCTGTATAACATGAGGCAGTATTGCCCTGAGGAGAAAAAGAGGTGATCAGGATACAAGTGTATCTGTTACTGTCAAAGAATGCATCAGGTTTTGCAGTCAGAGCTTGTTGGAAGTGTGCCAGTGAGTGTTTCCCAAAAATATCTTTTCTTTGAAACAGAAACATTCCATGGGATTGTGTTGGCTTTCATGATGTTTCTCTTTAAAGTGTTTTTTTTATAGCAGTTCTAAAAGATAAAAGTTCTAGCATTCTGTTTTCTTGCTTGTAAACATTTTTCATGGTTGAAATTGTTTTGTGGGAACTGACAATTCCAATGTGCAATATATATAGAGATTTTTCCAATTTCAGACTGTCCCATTGAAGGGCCTTCTGACTCCCACGCAGCTCAGCTTTACTTTCTTATATGTAAATAACTTCAGCTTAATTACATCAGAAATAGTTGGAGATAAATACGTGTCTAGCACAGTCAAAGATAACTTTAATATTCCATTGTATTTTGACATAAATTAATTGTCAAAGCATGTATTTGAAGATTTTGGCACCAATTCAGCATTCTAAATGTATTAGTGATTATAATACTGATTGAAGCTGTCTATCCAAAAGAAAAAGGAGGAAAGCAACATAAAGAGAAATATTTCCTATATCTAAAATTTAGGTTTAATTTTTATCTTTGTTTAAGCAAAATAAATCAAAAAAGCGACATAAGCTGTTGATATACTTGTTTCAGAAAAGCATGAACGTGAAAGCTCTTGGTTTTTTTCTCTTTGCTAGTGTGTAACTTTCTCAGAGCTGGAGACATAGGAAAAAGTTTTGGGTTTGAAAAAGGCAGGAAGCTGGGAGAAGTAGCAGGGAAAAGACTAACAAGACTCCTCATATTTTGAATTAAAAAGCGAAAGGGGAAAAAAACTTGTACACTCCAACAACATCAACAGAAAACCCAAAACAAAACCAAAAAAGCCCCACACTACCAAACCCTGAAATACATTTGTGTTTAATATTATAGATGGAGAAATCAGAATACAAAAGTTTCAATTCACATGTTTAATCAGACAGCAATACATATGTATTGGTCAGCTCTGTCTCAGTATTGATTGCCTTAGAAGGAGGAGATTTCCTGGGCAGCCTGCCCTGCCAGCAGTGCTACATAGCAGCACAAACGTGGTGCCTGCTGGCTGGCAACTTTTACTGCTTTCATCATCTGTTTTACGGGCTGGATTTGTCACCAGCTCTCCCCACATGAGAAATAAACCTGTCCTGATGATGCCTAAAGGTGCATTTATCTTTGCTCTTAGTCCATTCCCAGGAGACCAGAGGATTAAATCTGAGCAGTAGCAAACAGCCCTGAACAAAAACAGAGCCTTATTCTTAGTCCTGTATCAGAAAATAGCTCACCCCTCTTAATCTGGTGGTTCTCTTGTGAACCTGAGTTTAAGGTTACTCAAAAAGCTGCAGTTCCTGTTTCCTCAATGCTTCTTACATTTCATAATGTCATTTGAAAGCTGAGCAGTATTTATGCTGCACACTACTTAGCATTCAAGGTCTTCAGGAAAAGCAAACTCAACCTTTAAAAACAATTTGACACACAAATCCAGTCTGAAACAATATGAAATTATTACTTACAAATGGGGATTGTGCATTCAGTTAGTAGAGAGCTCACTTGAGGTCTGTTAGAGGAGCAGATAAACAGATTCTCATTGTACTTCTGCTGTCAACTTCTGCAGTCTCTTCTACTGACATGGTATTGAAACAGTCACCTGACGCACTGCCAGGAAAGAAAGGTTCCAGCACAGACATTTATTCTCCAAGTTCACTTCACTTTGCAGTGAACTTTTTCCAGTTTTTCTGCTCCAGCTTCATCTCTGAGCATTCTTTGTATAATCTGACCATTCATTAGCCTCTCAGACTCTCTCTTATAACAAGTCTTGTTCCAGGAACAAATTGCTCAAATGAGTAATTAAGAGAAAGGCATTACTCCTGCTGCAAGTATTTCTCTATGTTTCCAAAGGCTCAGAAGTGACACTAGAGGGTTCCTAGCAAAGCCATATTTTGCTGTCAGCTGAAGAGCAAGCCAGGAGTATATTCTCAAATTGGTAGAAACAACCTGGCACTTTTTACAGTGTATTTACTGACAGCTAAAGCTTTTTCTTGCCTGATAGTGCATTGATTTAAGCATGATAAAACCCAATCTAGAGTTATAATAAAATTTAAGAAGTACCTAAGAACTCCAGAAGGAGCAAAGGGTTAAATTGTTTAATTACTTACTGTGATACTGTATTTTCTTTAAAACTATTCCAATAGCAGATTATGGAAAACTGAAATGTGAAGACATTCTTGTATTTTTAGCAAAATAAGGATAACAAGCATGTAGACAGGGTAGATTGCTACAGTCTGCTTGAATTTCTGATATTTTACAAGGTCCTTCACACAAGGCTGGTAGAGATGAAAATAAGGGTTGTATAATAGATGGTCATAAGTTAAAGTATAAAGAGGTCACCCGTGGCAGTGCATAGAGGTTTGTTCTGGAACCTGTGCTGTTCATCTTTCAGAAGAAAACCCCGTGAAGGAGAGCCAATACTGAGGTGGCAACATGTGCTGATGGTACTGTTATCCTGGGTAGAAAATGACAGGGTTAATTCTGGTTAATTATGGGAAGAACTTGTGACATGGAATGATTAGGCAATAAAATGGCATAGGAAATGCAACACAGGCAATGTAAAGTGGTTCACATAAAACAATCTAAGTGTTGCATACAGAATTGTGTGCACTGAGTTGGCTTTCACTGCTCCAGGCAGTTGAGAGTTCTGCTTGTGACTCATGTTAGAATACAGCTGGCTGTGTGAGGCGACTGTCCACAGGGAAACAGACACTAAAGTGTCTTAGGTTGCTCTTACAGAAAATGATGTCATTCCATGAGTTGAAATTTAGAGGCTGACAGGTGCTAGTGAGAGCTGTAAGATTGCTGCTACCATTTCAAACCTTTTCCCTTTGGAACAATGAGTAATTACTTTGACGAATGCTAAAATGCACACCATCTCTATTGTGATGTTCCAGTAAGCAAAAACCAGCTTGAGTCTTGGAGTAGGAAAATGTGAGCTGGTAATGAAAAGGCAAAATGAAGTGACTGGCTGTGTTAGTATCAATGGTGGATTCTTGAGATCTCTGTCATAAAGCCTCTTTTACTTAGGTGCTGAAATTTGCTTTTAGGCTGTGTCTCCAGTGCACAGTAGGCATGGATGTTCATGGGAGGGATGGGATGGATGGATTCCCATGGATGAGAAGGGATGGTGCTGGTGACCCAGTGCCCGCACTATCTGTACTTAGGAGGTTTTACTTGAGACTGACTCTGCTGCGTTCCTGGGGACTGAACACCACTAGAATACCTAAAGTACATCCTTAGTTTCCTTGAAAAATAATCTAATTTAGAGACTGCTCTGCAGTATGGACTGGAGTGTGAGAAATGGTGACACTCAGGGATTTAATTGAAAAGTATAAACCTGATCTAAACTAACATGATAGTCATAGAACTTAGAATGTATTGGGTTGAAAGGGACCTTATAGGTCATCTAGTCCAACCCCCCTACAATAAGCAGGGACATAATGTAGACACCCCTGGACATCTGCATTTGGAATTTGGGGTCCGAAACTTTAGCTGCCTCAAATAATAAGAACTTAAAGCCTGTATTTAGCACATATGTTAGTTAAAAAATTATATCAATGCAATCTACTGATGCAGTTAGTCTGTGGTGAAAATTTTGGTAGCACAGTGCCCATAACAGCAAGGTGACATAGTATTTTGGAAATCTCAGGCTGGGCTGGCTCACAGATTTGCCGTTTTCTGAAGAATTCTGCAGGAATTTCATCCTTATTTCAGGTGTGTCTCTTCAGGTGGGTATGGGTTGATTTTTCTGAAATGGGTTCCTGTGAATGTGTCAGACTTGGCCCTTGGTATTGCTTTAAATGTTTCAGGAAGGCTACATCTTCATTTTCATTTCCCTAAATCTGCCTTGGTTTTTAGTACTATGGTGAGTTTAAAGGTAGTAAAAATATGTTCATATCACTGGAGTATACAGGTTTGACACTGATCTAGCAAAGGGCAGGGAGAGAGTTTATTTTACAGCAATGGCTTTTCACATTGGAGCCACTTTCTCAGGAAATTTCAATTGTAAAATTTTGGGGTTAAAAACTTCCACATAAAAATGGCTTTTAAACCAGATT